TTTCATTAGCGCAGGTATCAACTCTCAACTGATCCGGCTGCTTCCTTTCCACCACAGAGCCAATCAATACTTTCCACAGCATCCACCAAAACAATGACGAGCCAATCAGAGTCAGCTACCACCGCAACATTCACTACAACTCCGTGGTCAACCCTAACAAGGCCACCATTGGGGTCGGGCTCGGCTTGCCCGCCTTTAAACCAGGGGTACGTTGCATGTGTCGATGCTAAAATTAGGTCCAGAAGTTTGAAACGACAATGACCTTAAAATAGCTTTTAGGATTCTCCTGCTAGGGTTTTAAAGTGAACTCAAGAGTTTAACTCTGAAAGCCTGATAAAGATAAGTATAAAACCAAAAACTAAAGACGATAAGAAATATCCAAGACGACATTTTTTTCAGTTTCGTACAGTTGTAGTGGCCAGTTTCAAACCGTAGCTAAAAGGAGGGCTATGTGTTTTCCGCCAGTATGCAGAGCAGTCTTTGATGAAGTCGGCCATTAAAACGTCGGAGGAGTCGTGGATTGAGCAGCAAATGTTGGAGGATAAGAAAAGGGCAACAGACTGGGAAGCTACGAACGAGGCCATCGAAGAGCAGGTGGCCCGCGAGTCGTACCTGCAGTGGCTGCAGGATCAAGAGAAACAGGCCAGACAGGTGTGTGTGTGTGTGTGGTTGTGTGTGTGTGTGTGTCCACAACAGAAGAGAAAACAGTTCAGCCTACCGACCTGGTGATCCTGAGGGTCTTCTTCCTCCACAGCCTCGTAAGGCCAGTGCCACCTGCAGCTCGGCCACAGCGGCGGCCTCCAGTGGCTTAGAAGAATGGAGTGCACGGTCACCACGGCAACGGGACCCTGAATCTTCCCACTCCGACCTCACCACCACGTCATCAACCAATAACAAACCTCCCTCGCCTGCTGGAGCCGCACTTATACTGAGCAAACCTCCGTCCCCCTGTGCTCCAGGTACTGTCATGTAATATTCAAATCCAAATGTACATGTTTTGCACGTTTACTTTTAAGATACTGCTATGAAATTTTTTTTTTTTTTTTTATAAAATAAAGTTACCCTGATAATCAGAGCCATAATCTCGGTCTTAACCTGTCCGCCGACTCACGGCATGGTGATGGGTTAGACCAGGGGTGTCAAACTCATTTTCACCAGGGGCCACATCATCAATACAGTTTCCCTTGAAGGGCCGGTTGTCAATGGAAGACTGTATAGATCACAGGTTCCCAACCCACGGTCCGCGGGCCACAACGAGTCCATAGGTCATTTGGTGCCGGGCCGCAGTGGGACACAGTGAAAAAATGTACTTAATTTTTACTAGTTTACTTCATTCAAAGAAAATCCAGTCATATCCCTTTACTTTCTTTATTTAAAGATAATCTGGGAATATTTTTAAATAAGAGGTCATGGGTAACAGGTAGTACTGGCTGACCTGTCCTTGGAACAAAAAAAGTCGAGGACCGCTGGTATAGATGTAACTACTCCATAACGGACTAATACATGTTTCTGCAGTTGATTATTATTTGTTCAAACTACAAATACTGTTTGTTGTAAAAAAAAAAAGTTTAATTTCTCAGGTTAAGAAACTTTACAAATGCATTTTAAGCTCC